ACATATCGAAACTTTGCGCAATAAATTTTCAAAAAATATTGGAGTCATGTATAAAACGAGAAATTTTGTATATAGACATTCATTAATTTAACTTAATGTCTCACTAATTCAATGCCATAAAAACTATGCAAATATCGCATGGGGTAGTGCTAAAAAAATTCAATTAGATCCTCTATATCGGCAATAGAAACATATAGCACATCTAATAAACTTTAAAGATCCTTATACTCATGCCAGACCACTTTTAATGGAAATGAATTTTCTAAATATATACCAGCAAAATCTTTTTAAGATTGTAATCCGTTTCATAATATATTGGTATCCGTATAAAATCGAGTCAAGTTTTTATTTTATAGTATGTAATGATATCTGCCGCGATTATGTTTATGAAACTTGATAACTGAAGTATTCTGATTTAAATGAACTTATTTTGCGATAAATGGTATTTTTTATATATAACTTTAAAATAAAACTTAATTGTAAAACAAAAGTTTTTAGTTGTATAATAACTTTAAGTAATTTATAATTTAATCTATCTACATTGCATAAAATATAATATTATAAAACACTCAAAAATAAAAAGTATAAATTTATTTTATCGAAAACAATATTTTGAAACATGCTTGCTCATTTATATTTAAAATTATTATTGAAAATTTATTATCGAAAACAACATTTTGAAACATTATGCTCATTTACATTTAAAAAAATTATTGAAGTAATTTTAGAGTTATTACTAATTATATTTTATAAACAATAAAGAAATGGGTTATCTGTTTAAATTGTTTCTAAAAACTTGAACTTTTCTTGTTTGCAACTGATTCTATAACATACGGTTCTGTTATGTTAAAACTTCTTGTATTGGAGGTGCTTCTATTTCCTGATGTACTATTATCTATGGACATGCAACAAAAGCTAAATATAAACCTAAGCTTTTTTTTTAATAAAAGACTTACTTTTGGAGAAGCAAATATATAGATTAGTGCATCAGTCCAAAAAGACATAGCAAAAGCAATATTAACGTAGAGTTCTATTGTCTTAGAAAATTTTTTTTGCGTAATAACTATTTCAATTAAGATGTCAGGTATGGCTTCCAACAAAAAATAAACTACAAATATAAAAACTGTCACTAACAAACCTTTAAACATTCGTCTGTTTCTTTGGTTTGAGCGACAAGCCTTTTGTTTTCGAAAAAGTATATAAGCGTATACGTAGAAAAAAATTGAAAATGCAGTTATAATAAAATCATAACAAAGTATAATAAGGATATTGTAGTTTGAGTTGTAATAAGGAAATAGACCTCCAAATGTCCCTGCAAAAACATATACACAAACTGTAACAATAATGACCTTTTTTTTTGAACAGTAGATTCTGTATTTTATATTTAGTTTTAAATGTAAATATCTGTCAAATAACAACCAAAACGTCATGTAAAAGTACAATGAATGCAAGATTCTTTTAACCAAGTTTCCAAAGTTAGCACCATTTATGTTTCTAGGATAAAAAAAAACTAACGATAATAAAATTTGACCATGTGTGCTCAATAAAAAGTCAATCAAGCAAAGCTGAACTAGAATATAATGTTGAATTGAGTCAAAACCTCTTTTAAACTTCAGTAACACAAATAACCCAAATCCATTTAAAATGACACCAATATTGCAAATAGTAATTAATAAAAAATATTCTTCTTCAACCATATTTCGAAAAACGAAACGACTAAAGTGGGTCGACATTTTATTTAAATTTGAGTAATACTTTTTTTGCTATAAGTATATATATATATATATATATATATATATATATATATATATATATATATATATATATATATATATATATATATATATATATATATATATATATATATATATATATATATATATAAAACATATATATATATATATTTATATATATATATATATATATATACATATATATATATATATATATATACATATATATATATATATATATATATATATATATATATATATATATATATATACATATATATATATATATATATATATATATATATATATATATATATATATATACATATATATATATATATATATATATATATATATATATATATATATATATATATATATACATATATATATATATATATATATATATATATATATATATATATATATATATTTATATATATATATATATATATATATATATATATATATTTACATAAATATATACTTATATATATATATATATATATATATATATATATATATATATATATATATATATATATATATATATATATATATATATATTTATATATATATACATATAGATATATATATAAATATATGTATACATATATATATATATATATACATATATATATTTATATATTATATATATATATATATATATATATTTATAAATATATATATATATATATATATATATATATATATATACATATATTTATATATATATATATATATATATATATATATATATATATATATATATATATATATATATATATACGTATAATCATATATATATATATTTATATATATTTATATATATATATATATATATATATATATATATATATATATATACATATAATCATATATATATTTATATATATATATATATATATATATATATATATATATATATATATATATATATATATATATATATATATATATATATATATATATATATATATATATATATATATATATATATATATATATGTAAAATAATAAAAACCGAATTTCTTGATATCTATACAATTCAGCCACCGATGTATCATAATGTGGATGGGTAATCTTATGGTTAAGGTTATAATTGATTCAAACACGTAATACTACCAAATATGCTCCCAACTATTTTTAACACGATTATTGATATTAGATAGATAAAATTTTTTCTATTAAAAACTAAAAAAAAACATTATTAATCAACATTCCAATTTGATGACATTTACAATTCTTGCCATTTGTGCACTAAATATTCAAAATTTATTTATTGCCTATAATTAAGATTGACGCCAGAATTATTTTTGTTCAAAAGTTTAATCAATAAATAATAGTAATGGATTTTAACTAAGACTAGTCATAAGAATGCAACCTTAATTGGTTCTATGCAAACGCACGATATGTAAAAGACATTCAGAATGGGTTACGCCGTGATTTACTTAGCCTGTTGTGATCTAAAGTTGAAAAATTAAACTAAAAATGTAAAGAATTAGCATCAAAATAAAATAAAAAGTGTTGTTTTTTTTCGATTATATATTTTTAGAGTTTATAAGTAAGTATAAAAAACATAAAAAGATAATATTTTATTAGTAGGAGAGAAATTGAGGAGAAGTGGGACATTAAAAATGTTTACAAAAAAACGTTAATTCTTTTTTATAGAATGTACGTTCTGAATCAAACAATTTTCAAAAAATAAAGCATCATTTCGAGCCTGGTTTCATCCCTTAAGTTTGACAGCAGTTCTTAATATATACATTTTTTATTTTAGAGGAATTAAAGGGTTAATGTGGAAGATTTAGAACAGTTAGAGGGTTAATGTGGAACAGATGCGGGGTAAAATGGAAAGGCAAGTAAATATTAACCTTAACAAAACGTTGTACAACATTTTAATATTGGATACAATATTGACAGTATTGAATATAGACAATATTGACAATATAAAACTCTTAATTTACAATGGCATTATCAATATATTTTTGATAGACAATACTTTTTATCAGTAATGAATTGATAATACCATCATAAAACACTGCCGTAAATGTTAAAAACTCGTTTTATAATGATCTTTCATAAACTTATTTTACTGTTATAAATTATGACAATATTATTTTAATGTTATAAGTTTATGCCACGTTTATTTTTTATTACCTAATTTTACAGCCGTTGTAATTACAATAACTTAACACAAAGTAACAATCGGCTGATTAAACTTTTAATTTTGTAAAGGAACAAAGATTGCAGATATATTAATCGCGGGAATTTATTTTTTAAATGTATATTTATAAATTATAAAGATTTTATATAGTATTGTTTATATGTTTTTTTACGTGAAATGAGAAATTTTTTTTGGTTTAATTTTTAGCAAAGAGAACATTCCGATTTTGAATTAAATAAACTCAACATAAACTTTCTCAAAAATAGTTTTGTTTTTGACTCTAGTCTCCGTGTTTTTTTAAGCCATGTAGAGCAGAGTGTTTTGTATTTCTAAATCTGTTTTAAATATCATATTTTTTGTTTAATCGGGTTTTAGTTTAAGTAAATAGGTGTTTGTAATATTGATCATTTAAAAAAAAAACTAAAAAAAAATTAAAAATTTTTATTTCTAAATCAAAATAAATAATCAATTTTTAAAACTTAATTAAAAACATAAAAAAACCAATGATTAAAAATCTAATTTATTATAAATGATTTAGAATCTGATAAGATTGAAAAAAACTATTAGTTCTATAGAAATGAAAATCAAGTAAACAAATATAAAATCGGTTTAAGTTAATTATTTCTTTTAAATACGAGAAAAAAGAAATCATTTAATCATCTAAGCCTTTGTAATAAATTTTATAATAATTAATCTTAAATATTTATGTTGCGCTAAAATTTTAAAAATAATTATATTCTTAAAAAAAATTTTTTTTTTTAAGAATATAATATAAAATCAATATATTTATGATCTGCTTTTAATATGTAACTTATTAAGTTTTATTATGTAACTTATTAAGTTTTATTATTTATATATTCTGAATTATATTTTCTGAATTATAGATTCTGAAATATATTTTTTTTAGAATGAACTTCAGTAGTTTTTTTTAAAATGAACCTGATTTATTCAAAACATGTTTTGTTTCAATTTTAATGATTTCATTACATAAATTTATATCTATCAATACAGAAGATTTTTGTCAGAAATTTCAGTTTATGACTTTTTACATTAGTATAATTATTTTTAAATTTTCGCTTATACTCGTTTTTATAAAGAAAATCAATATACAAAGAAACCAATAAAAAAATGGATTGTAACTGTGGTCCGGGTTATCCATCTCCTTTGTTAGCAATAAAAGGAGAAAAAGAAAAGTTAATTTATTTCCCATGCATACAAG